TTCCTTGCTTCCTTGCCATCAAATGCATCTGGACTGCGTAGGAAAGTGCCCTCCACAAGGCAAATCTCCATGGGAGCAGCCTTCGAGTCAATTGAATCATCAGGCTCGTCAAGATTCTGCATGTTGTGCATGAAGCTGTGTTGAAGCCCAAGCCATCTAGAGCAAAATGAGTTGTGTATCTTGCATGTTGTCAACATCGACAAATGATTAGCATGCCCCGTTTTTTTTTTCGACTGCCACAAGTAAATTCACAACTTGCTGACTGCGGAACGTCTGGCGGAAGTATCTCCATCGCAGTCCTTATCAGATATGTGAAACCAAAGCGTCTGCGCTGGGATAAAAAAGAAACAGCTTGTGCCGCCCGGTGTCTGTTTAGGGGCTCATGCACTTCTGCAGATTCTTGATCCTGGCATTGAGTATTCAGGTCCAGACAGCGGAACGTTCCGCAGACTTGTGGTTTGCGCGGCTGATTCTGCTTGCGTTTGACGGCATAAGCCGAAGCTTTGGTTTCAGCGCTGACGATTTACGCTTCGGCTCTTTAGTTTGCTTCCCAGTGCGTTGAGCCTGCTCCATGTTGCCCCATGGCCACTGGCAACGGATGCTCCGAGAAAAAAATCCTAAAAGGAACAAGGAGGTTCAATTACTCCTGCTGTGCTGAGACCTGGTTTGGAAAGCCATGGTTGCTGATGATGCTGCTCCTTGTCCTTGGCTGGGCTGGGCTGGGCTGGCAAGTGTTGGATCTACTGCAGCCCTGTATCTTGTTCATATTCAAGACTGAAAGCTGGATAGTGTTTGAGCAACGGCCAGCACAATCACGTCAGCATATGAGTTTGAACATGCTTGTCCAGGCGTGGAAATTCGAAATTCGCAGCATCATTGCTGTTTATACATTCTGCCTGTGACGGCCTGCGATCCCTGGACAGCCTGCAACGGCATGGCGATCGGCCATTCCGGCTTTTTGCGTGTTGCACGCAAGCTGACGGCCATGCTGGCCTGCAGGCTGGGCGATGGGCAGCAGTAATTAAGAGACGTACCACCGCGCGTGGTCAAGCCGTAGCTGCTTAGCAAGACCACTTGCCTCAAGCATGCCCATAGAGCAGCCAAAGCTCAGTGCGGCGATGCCGGAGACCGCCGCGCCTCACTCACGAATCAACTTGCAACTGCCAGGTCCAATGATTGCTGCAGAACCAGCACATCCGTCTCAGGACCTCTGCGCAAATGAGTAGCGGACCAGTGCTTTGGCAACCAATCTGTACGAAAGAATCTGTCGCAGCGCCACATGACCAACCGATTCCTGTGCCAAGCAGGAACAGAACAAGGCCTTTCAATGAACTAGAAAGGTGTGCCAAGACATGACGCTCTGCAACTGACAACGTCTGCAGTCAACCACTCTAACAGCATGGAGCAACAACCTCCATTCGTAATCATGACTGCAATGAAGTGAGCTATCTGCTGCTGATCGGTGTTGTTGACTGGCTGTGTTGGTAGTCGCTTCCGCCTGAAAATACATGACGTTTTCCTGAACGGAGGTCCCCCAATTCTAATTGGGGGCTGCGTGTTAATTTGGCTTGTTGTGGCGGTTAAGCTGGCCTGTTGCTTTTAGATCTTTTAGGAGGTTTGCAGCGTTATTTAGGGTTTGTTCTGGTGGTTTAGCTGGCCTGTGGCTCGGGTTAGAACTGGCTTGTGGGTTTCGGGGTGTAAAAGTCGTCGCCATGGACATCGTCTGCACAAGCACGAGGAGCGTTGCTGACGCCTACAACGCAAGGACTTGTCGGATGCTTTTGCAGGTATGCCGCGCTTCAGCATGAGTCGCCGTGAACATCAGCAGTCCCGGGCATGTATGATCTTTCGATCTAGGGTCGAAGTGGACGTCAGCGCGGCTCCAGCATGGATGGTTTCTTTCTGGGTCGCATTTTGCCATGGATGGGGTCGGAGTGGACGTTAGCATTTGCATGTCTCGGGCATGGATGCTTCTGCTCGTGTTCGCACTTTACCCTGCATGGGATCGAAGTGCACATCATCATGGTTCGTGCATTGATGCTCTTGCCGCTGTTTGCATGCACCATGGATGGCCGAATGGACGTCAACATGCTTCCGGCATGGATGCTTTTGCCATTGTTCGCACTTGACCATGGATGGGGTCGGAATGGGCGTTAGCATGTTTCTTGCATGGATTCGCACTTGGCTATGGAGGAGGTTTGAATGGATGTCAGCATGCTTCCGGCCCGGATGCTTTTCTAATTCCCTTTCCTTTATATCGTCGTAAATACATGGCTGTAACACCAAACCATGAGAAGCCAGAACAAACCTGGAAGTGTAGGAGATAGCAAATCCTTTCCTTTAGATTCATGTACTTAAATTGGTTCAGAAGACCATCAAATATCGGAAGCACAGCGGATCTCCAATTCTGAAAGTTTTCTTTTAGATTCCCGTAAGTAAATCGCTGGAAAAAAACTGTATGAAACAAGAACAAACTGGGAGGTAGAGAAAGTCGGTAATTCCGAGCATATAGATTTCTATAGATTCGTTCATATAAACTGCTTTGGGAAACTTCTAACAAATTCCAACAAAACAGGAAAACAAAGGACACCCGTGTTTTTGATCGGGCTTCCTCTCGTGCAATATTGATCAGGTCTCCTCTAGATGCCGTGAAATAGCACCCCTTTAACAAAATGCTATGAAAACAACAAACCACGTAACGAAAATGATCCCTCATTGTGATTCGATAGCCTCTAGGTCCTACTATAATATAAGCTTCCGTATCCAAAAATAGTCAAGACAAAAAACAGGAAATCGAGCAGACTCCCAATCCCTTTTGATTCCTTACTATGATCCCGTAATGACCTCAAACCCCTTGACTGATCATCCGATGTGGCCCCTTCTACAAGTACTCTTCCACGATTTTAGGCCCTACAATAGGCGTTGAGAATCCTATTTGGGGGGGGGTTCTGCTAGGAAAGGAATCCGAACTTGTCGTTTTACTCGCTTGGAAACCGGCAGTGAACGGGAGCCGAAAAGAGTGGATTCCAACAATGAGGCCAGGCAGCACTGGGGTGAAACAAGGAGAAACTGCTCCCCCCCTCATGCGTTGTCTGTAATCGGCGGCTCCCACGCTCGCATGCATCCTTTTGTAGTTTTGCCCCATCTCACCTAACAGTCCCTCTCCTGTCCCTCTGTGCACTAGCTGCACAGGCGGATTGACCAACAGCAGCAATCTTGATCCAGACTCTCAGGCTGGGGCGACTTGTAGGGAACCCTCGTTGATGCGAACTCCTTGTCCTGGATCAGCTTCTGCTTTGGCTGGTCCTCCTGAACACGATGCACCTAGAACACGTGTGCCCCAACACGCAGTGATCCTCCAAGTTTGGCATCCAGCTATGGCGCTCTGCAGCTGTCATGCCTGTCAGTAACATTGCCGAAAGCACGCGAGGATCATGCGAATCGGCAGTGTAGCAGTGTAGCAGCTGGGAGAACGCAAGCGGTTGGCCTTCCTCCGCAGTCGCTTCAAAGACCTCCAAGCCGCCGCCTCGCAGCATTACGGGGCTTGCAATCGTGAATGCCAGGAAGCACTTTCCTTCGCAAGTGTGCAACAGATCATGCTGGAGAAATGTCGTCTGAAGAAGTTTCACACCAATTTCGGGCTGGCGGGCCTTGCTTGTCCAGGTTCGCCACGTCTGGAGTTGTCCACAGCATGACCTATACATCTTGCGAGTGGTCTTGGCATCTCGTGTCACAAAACTTTCACAGCACCAACGGACCGAGGCTAGGACTGCCACAGAGCAAGGCCTCAGCTCGCTCCCAGAAGTGACCAGCGCTGATAAACAGCCTTCATCCTTCATGTCTCGCGCAGAAAACACACCAAGTCAAGTGGAAGGCCTCGCCAGGACGCATTTGCAAACCCTGGTTTGCGCTTTCAATATATGCTTCTGCCGATGAAGGGCATCTGTGAGAGAACTAACACAGATCCACGTGCTTGAGCGCCGGGCAAGGTATGCGTTCCCAGGCCCGGATGCCCCGGCCACTCTGCATCATACTTGTGGGCATAGAGGCTACCAAGCCTTACATTTAACAAACGTGCTGGTAGCCAATACCAAGCTCATTGATGAAGCAAACAAAGGTGCGCGTGTGCAGAACATGCATGGCCCATGCATGGCCTGTGATGAAGTACTGAGGATTACCCAGGTAGTTATCATGCTCTGCACAGCGCCCGGGGTGGCTGAGCATGCTGCGAGTGCTTGCCAAGCACCGCAGGCCTTGGCATGGCAAAAGCACTTGCTGTACAGCTATAGCACAGTACCAACTACCAACTACCAAGAACCCTTCACAAAATGCTGTGCTGGTAGAAACTCACACTGGCTGTGCATGCAACCTCCTGTGAGCTCGGATTGGTGAGAGCTTCCCAATTCAGAGTTCTTAGAATAAACATATATACACTCTGAACAACTGGCCGTGTTGAAGCTGGGGGAACCATCAGATTGGCTGCTAGGTTTTCTGAGAACAAAGCAGGCGAGCAGGAAGTTCTGCAGCCAATTGTAGGAGCAGTTCTGCCTGAGACCGCGCCGCCGGAACTTCATCAACGCAATGGAAAAATGCGCCCCCCCTCTCGACTTCGTGTACTGAGGCACAGTCGTGAAGTCCATCAAAGAGGCTTGCCTTCAAGTAGGATCCACCCGCCTGTGGGCTGTACCAAACGGTTGCCTGAGGCTTCCATGTTCAGGTCAAATGCAACAGCCTAGTAAGCTATGAACATGGAGGGAAGTGACATGCATTCCCACCTCAAGGAAATGCTGCGCAAGTGCTTGAAGGGCTTCCGGGATGAGCGCAGCGTCGAGGTAGGCCAGCCCATCCTGGACCGCATAGGGAAGCTCCAATGGCCCTCGACGCATGACTTTGGACTCGCGGGACAGCGCATGACACGAGCGGGCAGCTGCAGTCTCTTTTTGGCCACTGGCAGGGCCTCCATGTCACAGATCATTTGCGGCCTAGCCCGCTACGCCTGTTCAAACAGGGGTCAGGGCTTCGAATTTCACGGCCTTTGCAACCACAGGTTTTGAACTCACGTATGTGTATACAGATAGCATGACGACCATCACCGCCAAGAGCGTGCGGATGTCGAAGGAGGTTTGGAATACCGGCAGAAGCACTTCCATCATGTACGTTCCTAGGACAGCCAAGCTCTCCCCCATGTTCTTCAAGACAGAGTCCAGGTATACAAGGAGATACAGTGTGCTCCATGCCTTAAGCATGTGTGTCACCGCCACGGCAATGGTGCAAGAGTCCCACCCATGAAAAAAGCCGCCTTGGTTCATGCACGAGTAAGCCCTCAGTCCAACTACCCTTCGTAGTGGCAGCCATGGCGCTCCAATTGGTCCTACAATAGTTGTGATGCCACTTTGAAGTACCAGACTTTCGGATTACTGTGATGTGTTAGATGTGTTAAATCAGCCAAGTGACTCTCCAGAGTCTTGCCATCTACACATACAAGCGCGGCCAGGAGGAGCGTACGGGAGATGCGCAACTGCACCGCCTGTATGTATACAGGATCATCGAACTCCTTTGTGTATCTGTCCGTCAGCACCGCTGCCAAGCAGGACACCGTGACCTTTAGCACCACGTTGATGGTCCCCAGAAGCTTGTTTGCGTTGCCATCATCCACATCCCTCGCCATGTCAAGACACATGTACACAGACATGGAGCACACCACTAGCGCCAGCAAATTCCACTGAAAAGGCGTCTGTCTCTTGCCACTCACCAGCCAAAGCATCAGAGCGGTAATGAGTAGCCTGGACTGCAACAGAATCTGGTAAGAACCTCCCCCAAGCGAAGCCATGCTGCGCATCTCCAGGTAATCGCCCAGGCCGAAAAGAAAGCCAATCATGGTGAAAATCTTCCTGGCAGCTACACCATGCGCTGTGAGTAACCTAATCTTGAAAATGGAAGCTTTACTCAGCAGCAACCTCCCAAAACACTCTGTTGGGTCGAGAAACAGTGGAGCTGGATTCCATATCGTCTTCCACCTGTAGAAGGTGCTCCCATGCCATGCTCCCGTGAGGTCTTCGGTTTTAGAAGCGCAACTTGTAAAATGGTGTTAACAGGGTTTTAACTTTGCTCAGATGAAGGCCGCCTATAAGTGCTTCTATGGCATATGTGGGCGTTGATCTAAATTCCTTCATCCTGAAATGACTGACCATCTTCGCGAGAAAAATACTTTCGCGAAACTTTCGCGGACCAATCGCCACGCATTTTCCTGATAGCTACCACTATCTTCTGATAGCTACAAGTGCCTCCTTCAGCAGCCCCGAAACTCTACATTTAGAATCGGAAAGCTGCTGACTTGGCAAAACCCCTTCCCTGCATAATTGCACGCAAACCATCCACACCTGCGCACCAGAATGGGTGGGTTAGAATCACCTCATTGGTCTCTCCCTCGAACTATATATAGTACACAAAAATCTAGCTCTTTGCCCACAGATCGTCACCTCTACTTACGCAGTTACTTAAACGGAACTTATGGGAAACTTTCGCGCGAACTTATGTTGCGATCCAGATTAGCGTCATGTTTTCTAGGCTTAGCGCCCGAAGAATCTAGTGCGGACAAGAGCCCAGAATTCTAGCAGTCTAAGAGAGAGAAGGATGGGCTTGAAATAGAACAGGTCAAAGAAGTGATGCCTTCTTCCAAACGATACGAGAAAACTGGCTCTGACAGTCCTTCACAGCCATAGCCTAGCAGAGCTGAGAACCTAGGCCAAGACATATGTGAACGTTCGATTACGTACAAAAAATTGACGAGAACTGAATTCCGTTCTCGGTGCCATCGCGAAACTTTAGAGAAGCCATATCTTGCTATGCTGGTGGTCCATCCACATAAATTACCTAATTACAAGGACCTTGAGATCAACGCTCACGCGTAGCTGGGGAAGGACTTATGCACCCGGCGGGGCAAAGTCCGGGTCTGGGGCTAAAGGCTGCGTGATGGAAACAAAGGGTGTGATCTAGCTGGCATTTCCGACCCAGGCGCTCCCCACGCCAGAGAGCCAAGGCCTGTGCCACCAGCATTGACATTGCCACCTCGTTTCGTAGCAGACGTTTTCATGACTCATAGAGCTTGGGAGCATTGGGAAAGGGAGGTCTCATGAAAACCGCCCAAACCAGAAAAGTTCTGACCCAGGAACAGGTGCTTTTTTAGCTGCAAAATTGGCCACTGTGTTTCAAGTAAGGGGTAGAAGACTCAAATCCCTTGGTTAGAAGAGTAAGGAGGGCATCGGCAATTTTTCCAGTATGTACTTTTGAGGCCAACAAGATACCGACTTGGTATCTCTCCTTGAGTCTTCACGCATGCACACGAACAACCAGGGGCTGGAAGAGATTGGGGTTAAGGCTAATCACTCCTACTAAAAATTCCCGGCTGAGGCATGCTGATATCAAAGTACCACTTCAAGGCACAACCATGTTTCATGGTGCCCGTCTAGATCTGTGAGCATGTGCCACACGGTTCCAACTTGCGCAGATGATGCATGATCTCTTGTCATGATTTCAATGCGATGCTGTACCGAATTGGGTATGAGGTCAATCCCCTGCAGCATCGTCTTCAATCCGTCTGTTTCTGCGGTAGCGACCTATCAATCCATGGCTTTCGCACCAAGGGCTTGATGCTTCATGAATTGAAGCGGCTTCCATAATGACTGGATTAACCCATCAATCCAATGGTTTTACCCATTGCATTGATCGATGGATGACTGGCCTGGTCCGATCCAGTCCATGCGCTGTTTGCTGGATCAGTGGCTACAATGATGGATTTACGAGTCATACCTTGACCAGGCCGAAAGCTTCTGAGTATTGCATAATCCCTTTACTTCAAATGAACACCTATATGAAGCCAATATCCATTTCATTCTCTATTTTACCTTCTGCTTTTTGGCCAGGCCCTTACACACCCTGAACGCTAAACCATGCTAAGCTTATCTGGAGCCGGGCCTACATTGATTCCAGACTGAGGCTGGGAGGGCCCACGTCGCCCTCCCATGCCCCCCCGCCCCAACGGGCACGTGAAGCAATTTTCTCACACTTTCACTTTTGGCATAAGTCGCGCAACACTTTCCAATACACTCGACCCTTTTGTCTGTTGGGGATCAGCTTCGTGATCCCATTCCTGCAAGCGGCCCCATCAGTTGCTCGGACGTGCTGCCCCGAACTTGCCGGCCCGGCCCCACCCCGCTCCCAGATGGCAACCATGAATATTATGCCGTTGACCTTGTTGACGCTGTGGACGCCGTTAACGCCGTTGACG